CTGGGTCCAGTAGCAAACAATGGAGCACGCTCTGCAGGACAAACTAAGTAATTACACCATTCAGAAGCATTTAATCTGCGTTATATGTTCTGTAAAAAAAAAAATTTCATAACGGCGGCATATTCGCCGATACCGATATATCGGCGACAGGCTCATATCGGCCGATAATATCGGCTAAATGATATATCGGTCAGGCTCTAATATATATTAATAAATAGTTTTGGTTTTTGCTGTAAATGTAAAAAAAAATGTAAACAACAATGTGGCAGTGCCTATTTTTGATAATCCAGTAATTGAAATGTTTGATACCAATAAATGGTGCACTGAATTGGTATAAAAACAATTGCTAGTAAATTTCACAAATGATTGCGAAGAAACAGCAACTACGTTAAATTAAACATTACATTTTGAAGTCTGAGATAGTATTTTCTTGTAAAACATAATCCAACTCAGGTAAAAAAATGTATAAATAATAAAAGTAGGTTATAAAAACGCGGGACTATTGTTTTGACATTTCTAAAATGTTCAGATGTGTAGTTCTTACAACTTTCATCACTCACAAATAACATAAGGTTTTGAGAATGTTCTCAGAGTGTTTTATCTTAACGTTCCGAGAATGTATCGAATATTAATGAAGTTATAGGAATATTCCATAAACATTACATTAAGAACATTTTGTCCTAAAATTTATATAACTTGTAAAAAACATAGTGAGAATGTTCCCTGTTAGCTGTGAATAATCTTGTTTTTTTTTTTCAAAAATTAATTTTTCTTTACATTGTGCTTATTTGATCTGTTTTTATTTGGAAGTTGATGGACAAAGCATCAGATTATTCATATCAAATGAATGAATAAAAACAGTTTCATGTTATAAAACTCAAAACAGTTGAGCTAAGATTATAAAACTGATAATTGTAGATACACTGTTGTTCTATATTAATGCATCGAGTTGCAATCATTAACAGACAAATTAATGAATTAATGAATTACATTACTTGGCAGAAGTGTTTATTCTGACTTGTATTAATATTAAATTAAAATTGGTGTGTTTTAACGTATTGCTGTTGTTTTGACTGTCTGTATGTCTAACAGTCCAGCCGTAGTATGAACGCACACAGTAAAAACTGTTTACTTTCTGTAAAACTGTTCTCGTGTGTAAATCCAGTAAATGTACCACATCTGCGTTTATTCCCAGTCCTGTGGAATATTTCCATGAGTCTATAGTTCAGCAGTTTCTCTGGCCGCGTTTATGAATCCTATCAATGAGGGCTTTGTGTCGGTGAAGAGGAGCATTGTGGGTAATTGGGTGTAAGAATGGTTTGGCTGTGTTTTGGCTTATTAACTGGCTCATCGGAGTCGTATGTAATGTTCTCCGTCCTGCAGGACGGTTTGTGCCTTGCATGGGCTGGAAATAGCTGACCTGAGGCCAGTGTGCGGTGTGCGCTCGTAACAGGTGTGTGCCGGAGCGCGGCTAAACGCGGCTGATTCCAGAGCTAGTGCGTCATGGAGCGGATCAGACACAGATACATGAGTCCTCAACCCAAACACTGAACAACACAGCCTTTATGTGGAGCTGGAGCAAAACACTGAGTCCTGCTGCAGCACTCAACGGGGAATAAATGCTGAATCCAGCAACAGTGATGTGTGTGATTGATTGTAATGAAAGAATATCACTGCCACTGCCTGTTAAAGATCTGAGCTGCTAACTACAGACTGGAGCTTCAAACCATATTATTTTAGTATCATGTGAGATACTGTTATAGTTTTTATTAATATACAGTAGTCAACATTTGAAGTGGATCAAAACCTTTCATCCAAGTTGTTCTAAAACCTAATACTAAAATGCGTTCTTGTCTTAGGACAACTTTTAAAAACAACCAACCTTGAAATTGGTGGAAAACAACGTCATGACGTGTTTTACCTCTAGAACAGGCCAGATTTGTTTTGTGTTGAGGTTATATTGATTGATTTATCACAACATGTTCAGAGTCCCAATCAATATATTTGGCTCCAAATGTGGTTATGTTGACTTGTTTTTAGCGGGATCAGTTCAGGGTCAGTTGGCATAAAAACACGCATAGTTAAGCTGCCAAAATTTGGACGTATTAACTCATTTTTCATGATTAAAAAATGAATAAGTCATGAAGACACCGGGAATAATGTATCGAGATTATATTTGAGCTGCTTCTTGGTGTCGAATCTAGCTAGGGGTGGTCGATATAACTGTAGTATATTGTTTTAAAATGTATCGTTTGCACACATTTTTAAGCATTGCGATTTAAAAACGAGTGATTTTAAGCCTTTTTAAACCCCCAGACAACATCGCGTCCATGCTTTGCTGAGCAAGGACAACACGGAAACATGTCGAAAAGGTTAACTTTAACCACGAAACCAGATCGGCCGACATGTAACGTTAGACGCTCACTCAAAGGATGGACGATCTGACAGGATTGTTACTATGAGGTGATCACATCTAACGTGTATAGTAAAGACAAACTCTAAGAGATTTAATTTACACACTGAAAACGATGCAGTGTTTTTAATTTATACAATGTATGTAGCATTTATTTATTGTACGTTTTTTTGTCCTGTTGCTTGTGATTAGTTACTTATCTTCAGTGAGCTTGAGTTTTTTTGCAGTGAGTTTTCTCTTTTTTTTCTCCTTCTTTTTTTAAGCTTGTATTAGTTTTTCTGTGATATTGACAGTGGTGACAAGAATTATGAAAATTCTGTGTATCAGAAACTTTGATATCATAAAAATGTTATTAAAAGCAAATATAACTATATCGTGATATATATCGTTATCGTGATATGAAAGTGCTCATATCGTGATATAAGGATGTGTCCTTACCGCCTGCCCCTAATTCTAGCTCTAACCAAACTTCTCTGGTTCTTTTTCCAGTTCTTTTCCCAAAGACACAATCCTTAGCTGTAAACATGGAGCGTATGGAGCTGAAGAAAGTGAGCACGGAGGCGGACGATGAAAGCAGCGTGGACGAACGCTTCACGCCCATCGATTCAGAGAAGGCCACCATTAACAGGTCAGAGTCACTGTTGTGTGTTTAACCCCAACGCTGTTTGATGTCCACATCTAGAACATTGTGACACATAGCTTGATGGGAAATGATGTCATATGCTGACATATCCATGCATTGATTCATCATGTAACAGCAAACAAGCGGAACCTGTGAAATGTCTTAACATGGTGTTTGAAATCACGTGTTTGTGTCGTCGATTGCAGCTCACTTCTGGATGAGGACGACGCACAGAGTCAGAAGTTTCTCACCAATGGCATCATGAAGAAGAAGAAATATGAGGAAGAAGAATATGTAAGATCCTTGTTCTGAAACACATTAGCATATTCATATTCTCTCTCTGGAGCTGTTGGTTAGCTCTGTCTCTCTGTCTCGCAGCACCCGGGTCACACGTCATTTGGGATGTCTGTCTTTAACCTCAGTAACGCCATCATGGGCAGTGGAATTCTGGGATTGTCTTTCGCCATGGCCAACACTGGCATCATACTGTTTGTGTGAGTATCTGCTCAGAATGATGTGGAAAGTGGGAGGAACTTATCAGCTTGGCTCATGAATATTAATGAGGTGCTGGAACTTTCAACCAATCCTAATCCTAGTTGCTGAAAGGCGGTGGCTAGTTGTATTAGGATAGTACTCCTTTCTTAAATAAATATTAAGTGTAATTTATTAACTTGTACTTTTTTTTTATTTGCTTAAAAATGTAATGCAGTAACCCTAATTGAGATCCTCATTGTTTTTTTGTTTAGTTTTTTTTTTTTATAAAAAAAATTATACAAATTAAAAAATAAAATAAATAAAAATGAATATAATAGTAAAAATATATTTAATGATTTCAAAAGTTTTAATAAACTTGCTATGGCCTAACTGTATAAGTATTATAAATAATTATTATTATAATTTATACGGTATATATATATATATATATAATATATATATATATATATA